AAACACAACCTCTACGGGAAAGACATAAAGGAGAGAGCCCTGTAGGTACAGTTTCTGTCCTTACACCACCAGATGGCCCAGGACAGTGCAGGGGAGCTGGACAGCAGCAGGCTGGGCCCTGGACCTTTGTGCTGAGGTGCAGGATGGCAGAGTCCTGTGGATGTGGGGGAAGAGTAACGTGGGAGGGGTCAGGCAAGTGTGACATAAAACAGGATGCAGCTCCCGGATGTAGCCCCATGACAGAGGTTTCCACCTCCCATGAGCCATGAACTCAAGGGAGTGGTGGAATCATGTTTCCAGGGGCTCAGGCCTTTAGGAGCTGAATTCCAGCCAAGAGCTAGGGACAAAGGACAGAGTGTTTGAGTGTGAATAGATGAAGGCCGGGAAGGAGGACCCAAAGGAGCTGAATCTCAAGTTCCAGTAATTACAAGAATTATGAGCAGCACCCGAAGTTATCACTTGGTTATATGGACTGGTCTTCTTGAGAAGGTTTTGTAGAGCCTGGTGTCCAAGAAACTCGTTTTCCTTATTTAACATTTTGATACAATTCTGAAGCAGCCAGATGTATTCCCTACCACTGATGCTCTGGGGTCCGTTCTCTGGTGTGATGAGACTTGATGACTCAAAATAAAACCTTGTTAGAATCAGCTGCCTGTCCTCCAAAAGTTGAACACAGAGTTCCTAATGACCCAGAAATTTCTGTACTAGTATATTATCCGAAGAATTGAAAATACATTCACACTAAATCTCGCACACAAATGTAATAAATAACAGTAATATTCATAAAGTCAAAAAGGATAACCAGCCCAATATCCATCCCCAGGTGAGTGGAGGGAGAAAATGTGGGCAACGTATGCACGTGGGGGGGGGGGCGTTGCAGGGGGTTGTTTGGTCGTGAAAAGGAATGAAGATCGATGTTGGCTCAATGGGGTTGACCTTAAGGACAAAATGTTGCATAAAGAAACCACACATAGAAGGTCACAATTTGTAGGACTGGTTTTGTAGAAATGCCCAGAATATTAGAATCTGTACAGGCAAGAAGTAGAATAGTGGGGCTAGAGGAGTGGGGTTTGGGAAGAAATGAAGAATAATGCCGGTGGGTACAGCTTTTGCTTTTTTCCCGGGGTGGTAAAAATGTAATTAGAATATTGTGACATTTTCAGAATTCGGTGAATGTACAAAAATCCATTGAGTGGTCCGTGTAGTATATGAATGTGTTTTATAAAGCTGTTTTCTTAAAAACATTGCAGGAAACCAAGCATGTCAGAAAAGTAGAAAAAGGTCTCCTAGTTCACACTGCTATAAACTGTGCGCAGAATGGCCCAATGACGGGCATGTTTAAGTCAGGTCTGGAAAAACGCAGACGTGGCTAGAGCAGGGCAGCAGCCTCGGGATTGGGGGTGGGGGTGGGAG